TAAAGTATATTCTCAGATACAGAACTCGGGAACACCATTAACACCCATTTACAAAACACTACAGTGATGGTTATTGGCACATAAAAAACTCCTTCTCTATATGAAAACATACACAAAATAGATAAGAACTGCCATTTTTTTCAGACTTTTAAAATCTATATATAGTTGCCTTTAAGGAGTTTTAACCCCTGGTATCACAAACAACAATATTTCTTTAACAATGTTCACCTAGATTTTACTGTGCTGACATTTGTAACACTGCCACAACCTAGATCACTTTGTGGATTATGCTTAACTGTACACAAGGCGATGAAGATTGATAGAAAACCACTAAGATTTTTGCACAAAAATGTGACTTATTAAAATCCAGAGAACGATTGAGTCACTTATAGGCAGCAGCTACATGTAAGCTGTAAATGTTACCCGCAATAAAAACACATTTTGCCATAAAGCACATATTGTGGCATTATCTGCTTCTGGCCTGGTACACAAAGCTCGATTTTCTTCCCAATGCAGAGGAATGGGGTTTGGTTAGCTTCACTCTCTCAGAAAAAAAGTGCACAAATATCTTACTCTTTAAAGTGCTTCGCAGAACTGTCTCATCTGCCTTGATTTCTACCCCGAGATCTCTCTATGCTGTGAAGACTCTGCCTCCTTCTCGCATAGTGATGTTCAGCTAACAAAGCCTCTTAAGCAAGTACAAGTAAAATTTCAAGACCACGTTAGAGGACCGTTGACCTTGAGAAGTAGAAAGCTGGGTATAAAGCTGAGAAGTACAGGGTCTATCTCTTATTAGCCCATTGCGCACTTGTAGGACTGCACCCAACACCCTCCCGGCCGAAGGAAAGACCCTTGCTCAGGGCCTGTGGCAGCCCCTGAAAGTCAAAACTTCTCCTCAGTGCTCAACCCGAGTGACCAAGAAGGGCAAAAGAGATTTCACCGAGGAAAAAAGGACTAGCTTTGCAAACTCCGTCGTCACCTTCTCACCTCCATGTGGGCATGGGAGAGGAGCACCTGTGTGCTTCCTCCCCCTGAGTCTGCCAGCCCCCTGTTCCCATCCACAGGACCAAGCACAGTCCCTTGGTCCCACCATCCTTCTCCCCCATGGGAGAGAAGTCAGAGACCGCTCCTTTTGGCTACGACACCTGTCTCTACTGAAACATGACGTCGTGGGGCTTTTGATGCATCATGTCTTTCTTCTCCCCTCCCAACCCTAACTCCTACACCAGTGAAATGCTGCATTTACCAACTCATGCAAAAATAAGTCGGCATTGGAGCAATGATCCTTGGGACATAACCTCTCTTGTCCCAAAATTGCGGACAGGGCTGTCACTGCGACTCACAAGGTAGCAACGTCTATGAGAGCGATCTATCTAAGGTGCACGTGAAGCAACGCAACTCAAACAAGTCCCGGGGCCTTGCTTCGTTTCTACGTCTATTTTCAAAACAGGTTTGCTTCTCTGGTTAAAAACTGATTTTGATCAACAAAGTGACAAGGGGAAGAAACAAGTGGCAAATTATCTCAACCCCCCAACACTCCAGATTTGCAACATGGTGAGCAAACTACTGTATGTGAATTAAATTTAAAAAGATTAAAAATGCATCAGGACTTGTTTCTTTTATACTTGCTCTTAGACCAAAACATGTAGAGTCAGTAGATTAATCAGAATTAAAATATCTCAAATTACAGTATTACTCTAGCATTCCTGATGCACAGAATACCTGAATTAAGTGTGCAGTCCTTGTGAAGAAACGATTTCACATCTTCTGCAGAAAGCTTTCAATAAAACGATATTGTGCTTAGACATACTATTTATGCTACTTCATAAATTAAAATCCTGTCATAAGAAATTATTCAGCTACACTGTATTTTCATTCTTTTATCTGGAATGTTACTAAGTCTACCCTTAGCAAAAATCTCTTAAAACTTAAAATATGCACAAATATAAAAAATCTTTGCAAAATAGAAACATTTATTTAATTTTCTTCATACACTATAAATGTTCACAGAGTCTAAAAATAAAACCCTAATTGCGTAAGATTAATCTCAAGTATTTGATCTCATTTTTATTACACACGATGCTTGGTACTAGGTTCAGTGTTTCTAAGGTATGGAATGTTATCTTGGTGTAAAGCAACCCTAAAAGGAAGACTTAAACCCGACTCTCTGCGGGCAGGGAAGGGGGAGTGACAATAAAGAAGCCGATACATTTTGCACCCTCATAGCCAGTAGCAATGATGAATAAAACACATGGGTTTCAATTGTTTTGCCTCGAGAAAAAGTGCACGGGATGCAAACCTTCAGAAAACTGCTTTCAGTAGGATCGAACTTGTTGTGTGAGAAAACGAGCCCAGAGCAGTATGCAGCTGAGCACCACTTTTGAGAACGTCCCTGAAACCAGGCCGGCAGAGAGAGGTGGTCGTCTGCTGCTAAAAAGCCCCAGCACTGCCTGCAAGACAAGAGAGGCTGATCTTGTGACAGCGATCTTTCCACGACTTTGCTTTGGTTATGCCCAATAAATGCAGCCGTTTCCTCCACCTGGGGACACAAGTGTAACGAAGGGCAAGGTCAGCACTGACACCGTGCCGGCGCAGGGACGCCCTCCTTGCCTTACACCCCGCGCCAGCAAAGCACGTCAAGCAAGGGGACGTTCATCGGCGTAATGGTGAGTGTGGGCTCACGCTTTTGGGGGCATCAGAACCATAAGTCCCTCCTCTCAAAAGCCAGTACATACCCACTTAAACCAATCAACCATGGAAGTACAGGTTGGGCATTACACACCTATTCACACGCTGTTCTGGGTAACAAAACTGTTCCGAATAAGGGTCTTCAAACACACATTTTTCGGTTTCAGAAAGAAACCAATTTGCCCCTAAAACTCTTTTGTTCTTGTCTGTGCCAAGTATCCCTTCTTATTTCAGGTACTGCACCTTCGGTGAAGGTTTCAAAGAGGTGACAGCCTAACAGAGACATCCCGCGGCGGGTGCATTTGTAGACAGGTCTGGAGACCTGGCTGGAGCATTTTCAACAGCTGGTGCTTTCAAGCATAAAAACAATGTGCGCTTAAAGGGGAGGCAAGACGGAAGGCGTGAGAATCCAGCCCTTTCACCGCGCAAGGAGATATTCAAGGTCGGGCCACTCTTCCCAATGAGTCGTTTGCAATTCCCTCTGTCCACTATGCTTTCCCCTTTCAGTCCCAGCCAAGTCACAGAAGGATGCTTTAAAATGTTTTCTTTCCAAAAATATTTCTTTGATTATTGAAGTAAAAAAGAAAATAATGCAAAATACACCCAGTTGCTGAAGGTCAATAACTGGAGAGTAAGAGCTACCCCCACAGAAGACCAGATAACATAATGGCAGACTTCTTTACAACAACAAAACCCCACATTATCAAAAAAAATAATTTAGAAACAAATGTCCAGTCTCAGTTTTGATAGTAATTCTACATTCAAAATATTTTTCAACCCAAGAAAAGCCCACAAAGCAAATCTATAAAAGCTAATGAACCCAACAACTTCTTTCATCTTTACACAATGAAAAATAAACATATTTTTACCAAATAAATGGGGGGACGCCCGCAGGCAGAGGAGGTTTTCCACATTCTTTCATGAAGCAAATGTTTCAAAGGTAAGAATTTGAATTGTTGATGCTTTCAAACTCATATCTTTGAAGACTTAAAGCAGTGAGGACAGGGCAAGGAAAAAAAATAACATAATATTTTTCTGTAGCTGCATAAAATTCAATTTGCCAAGGCAAGCAATCATGGCAGGTGAATAAAATACCATTCGTATTTTCATTACCAGGCTAAAGGCAGCCAAGTTGATTTTTGCGCCTGACATTTTCTTGACAATTTTGCAATGCTTCAGTAAGGCAATTAATATGAGATGTAGGCTTCTGCTCATTGCTAATATTTCTCTTTAGATCCAGCGAGACGCTGGTTGACTAAGGGCATTTGAAGGAAAAACGTGCTGGGATTCATTTACTCTGCACATACGAAGATAACTGAAGGCAACAGGATTATTCACAAGCAAAATGCGCAGGAGGGATGACCACTGTGCGTTTAGCAGCACAAAACCTCTCCCCTCCTTTTCTTTCTTTTAGCTAATGGTATTTTGTGTTCAAAAGTAGGCATGAACCCAAATGTTCAAATACAAAAAAGGAAAACAAACATTTTTTTCCAACGAGCTGAAGCCTCTACATTGTACCTAGCAATATATACCAGTTCATTTGTATGGGTGGCCACATCCTTAGTTCTGTTTTCCTGCTGTCGGTTAATTTTGGCGGTTGCTCTCACAACTCCCAACCATCGTGTGTACTCAGGGGCAGCAGCGGCTAGAAAACCCGGTGTAACACAGACGTACGCCACTCTAGTGAACCTCCACCCAGGTGAGTATGGCTCTCTACTTCTTATCTCAAATAAATAAAAATGGAAATTCTCTTCAGGCAAATTTGGGAAATGTTCCCTCCAATAGATATGGCAGACATTTGTATTTTCGTAATCCGTTAAACCTTTTAAATGGCTACCGTTACAGCAGCTTACGCATTCGTCATTCGTTGTACTGCACAGCAGAGATATTTGCTAAGTTGCTATGGGACGGGGAGCTGACAGATGTCGGCTGCTTTCTGATTAGCTACTCTGTTATTTTATCTTTTGTCAGTATTGAAGATAAGGACAACCACTGACGATCTAGGATAGCCTTCTGGATTCATCTGTCACAGCGCACCCTACTATATGCCTTGGGATGGTGCAGTGTAGCGCACGCGTGGTGAATTCACATAATCATGGAATTCAATCTCTTTCGGAAGCCATTGCTTTTAGCTATCAAGAAAACGCTAGCATATTAAATTTCCTCCCCAATGGAGCATTTTTGAACGTGAAGGCATTTTTAACTAGACAGTAGAAAGGAGAACCAGACCAGAAGCAGGGCAGTGAGGTCATCAGAGAGCTGCTTTTCCCCCAGAAGGCTTTTAAATGATTAAATACATCAGCAGCTGAAAATTATTCCACATCAGAAGCATCATTGTCAGAAAGATGGTAATTACTTCCCTTCACCCGAATATACTCGATATACCTCCCTTCATCAGAATCTGACATACCACATGTACATAGCCTGTTTTCAAACAAAGATTCAACTTCCTCTAGTTTTTTCCCTTTAGTCTCAGGAAGGCAGCCGTAGATGAAAACCAGTCCCAAGCCAGCAAGCCCGGCATAGAGGAAGAAGGCTCCTGCAATGCAAAGCAACAGGCACAGTTGGTTACCGAAGTTCCTGTCCCTTCTCTGCTCCAGAGCAGAGGGAGCAGCAGAAGCAGCAGGCTGCAGATACCAAAGGAGTGTGTAAAAGCAATGGTTGGAGCGGCATCGTTAAAATAACGAGCTGCGGGGCCGTGGGTGTAGAAGGCTGCTTTATTGCACCGCTCCACAACAGAATAAATTAACAAAAGCAGTTCCGTTTCACATGGAAGATAATACACATCTTTTTTGGACAAGTCGTTCCGCTGTTAAAATAAACAGCAATTGAATGGTTGCACATCCAATAAAAAAAGCAGATACGAAAGGCAAGAACTTTCTCAGTTTATCTTAACAGCGAAGGACACACTAAGACAACCCCTCAGAGCAAGAAACTTCAGCAAAAAAGAAATAGTCAGGATTAAAATAATGCTTGTGACTCTTACACCTTATTATTATTTAGAAGTCCTCCACAGAGACAATTAGCAGTGAGAAAGAGCTCGTTCCCTCCCGCCACCCACCTTACCTAGGGGTCAGAGAAGGTACCAAAGGACCAACAAACATTCACCTGCCGCGTGTTTCTAGATTGATGACTCAAGGGACTGACAAGTAGGGTGAAAGGCTCTGTACTAGTAATGACAGGAAGGTCACAACAACTCCCTAGCAGCTTAATGTAATTTACATGACTTGTACTGGAGTGGCTGAGCAGTAATCTGACAAACTCTCCGCAGGCTCCAGCAGACAGGACTTAATCACCAGCTGGGAGTGGGGCAGTGGCATCTTACACAGCTATTTCTGCAAGGACCATCTGATATTGGCCTTGGATGCCATCATAAACTGGAAAACTGCAGATGCTGTCCCCTTAAGTGGGTATCAGCATTTCACTAAGTCAAAAGTGGTTTTTTTTCCAGCTTCCCTTGTTTTAATCAACTGTCTAGGTTCTCAGTTAAGGACAGAAAGAAATGTTTCTTATGAAAGCTGGACCAAACTCTATGATCCAGGCAGGTCATATCAGGTCTCCAGTCTTACTAAATCACGGTGGGTTGAGAACACTGCATTCACAGTTGACATTTCATAGCAAAGCCAACTGAGCGACCCAGAACCAGCAGAAAATCTATGCGCCAATGATAGTACCACACACACGGACGCATACTGTTTCTTACCATAGTACGTCAGGTATTCAGCTGTATGCAGAAATGTCAGTGACACGAGCACATTGAAAACCCAGTTGACTCCAGAGGAACAGGCGTTTCCTGTACTTCTAGCCCAAAGTGGGTAAATTTCAGAATTGATAGTCCAGGGCATAGGACCCATCCCTAAGAATTAGGAAAAAAGATCAATCCCAGTTTAATGGCTGGACTCAAAAGTAAATTTAACATGTAGCCTCACTATTTGACATTTTACCCTTACATTTTTTTAATTTATATGCATAAACAAATGGTTGCTTACCAGGTGCAAAGAAAACCAAGTATAAAATAAGGCCCAGAAGTGCTGTCCAAGAGTATGGAGTGGGGCAGAAATTGTATGCCCAGAACAAGTCTTCCTTTTTGAATACTGTTTCATTTGAACACCTGAAAAATAACGATAAAACTTAGTATTAAAGAATTTTCAGGAAAATGGGTGACATCTCAATATAAACATGGCATATAATGTCTTAGGAAAAGCTGACAAATGTAAATTAAGATGAAAAAGCTCCATCTCTCTTAATTTATCAAGATCTTTGAGCCAAGGCCTACATTCAGAAATGTGCTTTTTCCCAAACCTGGTCTTCGGAAGCATAACCAGCAGAACATTCCTGACTTTAAGCACCTGCCTTGTATCTACAGATCATCTTCAAATGAATAATCTTTACTATGCAAGTGGTCATACCAAAGCCAACGAGACCATTCACATGAATATTGCACAGTGGAGAAAGAGCTGCAGCAGCAGGACTTCGAGCTAAAGATGCCGCATGCAAGGATTTAGGTCAAATGGAAGTTAGTCCTGAAGTCATTGATGAACTATATGCTGCACGCCTTGGGTGTAATCAGTAATGCCTATAGAGTGTGCCAAGGTCAAGTGAAGGTATAAGGAAAAGAAGTACATACTCTCTTTTCTACACAGTGAAATAATTTAGAAGGTGGCAGCATTTCTAATTAGACAGCAAAAATAAGAATCAGACCAGAGGTAAACTGTGCCTGTGTTAACTGAAAGAAAAAGTGACTCTATTCCAAGGACTACGGAAAGCACATATTTCTAGGAATAGGTATAAAGCCAGGTATTTTCATCTGACTGTCAACAATATATTTTAAAGGAACACAGGCAACTTAATTTTTTGTTATAAATCTTGTTTTTTAAAATTAGCATTTGTTTCAAGGGACAACAAGTCATAACTGTAACTAGAGAAATTTTTCAGCTGCAACCACACCAATTGCTACAGCTGAAAAACCATGTACTTTTGGGAGAGAAGACTTAGGCAGACACCACCCTTTCATATGCAAACAATGTTATTCACTTGGAGAGAAGAAATCACAGAGAGCTGAACATCTGTCTGGATTATGATTTCCAGATCAGCTGAGCACTTATGTGAAGGACATGACCCTCTTGACAGTAGGAAAACCAGAATGAAGATGACTGCAAGGGGTGATAAATCATAGCTGGGCAACGAGTGGAGAGATGGTGGAGCAACAGGCACCCTGAAACATTTCAGAGGACCTACCACCACTGCAGTTGACTTTCAAAAGCAACTTCCAACAAAACATTTCTCCTCTAACTTTCCTGTTGAGAAATGACCAGGCAGACCCAGGCTGAACAGGAATGTGCTAAGGAACGTGCTGGTGGCCAACCCACAACCAGTCCTGGGGAGAAATCTCCCTTATGCTGGCATGGGTGTACCAACAGGACAACTTTTAAGGCAGGATATCACTGTGAAGTCCTAAACCCAATTTCAGGACAGCTGGAAATCTACAATTCAAATGCTCTTAAAAGAGAGAGGTTAACCCAACAAATCCTGGAAAAACGCACGTCTGAAACCCCAGCCAAACCCTACCGCTGCCTTAATGGCGGTAAGCCGCAAGATTTGTGGTTCCACCTTGCACTTGAGCAGTGCCTGAGCAGCCGGTGCCAGCCCTCCCCGGAGAAATGCTGAGCCCTTGGCGTGCTGCCGGCAAAGCAGCCGGTGCCGGCGTGCATGTTTCCACCCTGCCACAGCCCTGCCTTGCTGAGCTCCCCCAGAAAGCCCATCTCATCCAGCGCATACAGATTCACTTTCAGTCTTGAGGTGAAAAACACACAGAAAACAGGCCAAGTGAACATCTCTCTCAAAGATACATCCTTCATGCCTGGATACAACAGGCTTGTGGCCTCAGCCGCTGCCTGGCCACCGGAGCACCCCTCTGCCGAAGACACTAGCAGCTTCCATGACAGAGATTTTTCACCTTTTCTCAGCCAAAAGTACTGCTGTCATCCTTGCCACTTCTTCATCTTGCTTCTAAGCATCACCCCAGGTTCCTTCTTCTGTCACTTGGCTCTTTCATGGCTCAGCACAGCATTTCTTTTTATGTTACGAGCATGAGACACGGATCATTCCCTGATGGTGTCCACCTTGACACTTCCCTACTGCTCTACACACTCCTCATCACGTGCAGGTTAACTCAGGTTTGAGGTATGTCCCAGGTACAAGACATACAGAAGACTGAACTGTGCTGGAGAACTATCCATATGTTTAAGCCCGCCGTTCCTTACATATTAAGGAAATGGTGTTTGAAAGATTAATTACTGAAGAGCTGGTGATCCTGTTGCCATCTCCCGCTCAGCCCCGTGTAGCTGCCTGCTCTCCATCTGCACCACTGACAGATCACAGGATTGCTCAGTTTCACACTGTTTTAACACCACCATGTTTGCTTCTTTTGCTGTTACTCTAATTTCATTTGCAGGTGTTTGGTAATGAATACAAGCTGATTAGCATTTTAAAACATCTTGCTGCTGAGATTGGTTTCTCCATTCTGCCCAGCCAGATCGGCAGCTCCTCAGCGAGGAGCCTCATGCTTTCTCTTGAATGCTACTGTAAACAAAGACGTACTTGATTTATTATCTTGCATCCATCTCCATCAGTGCAAACCAACGTACTGATTCACACAGACACAACCGCCGGGAGGTCTGGATGTTTTCTTCCCCTACCATCTTTCCCCAGATGTGTCCTACTTTTGACAGAGTGGAACACAAACAATACAAGGGAAAATCAGATGTCTCCAAAGCTTCCTATGGCCGAAGCCACTCATCTGTTCTCCGCTGTCTGCCCGTAACTGAGAGGAAATTCTGTTGCAAGAAAGCAGATTCAGAGCATTGAAACAGGAAAAATAGCACTCGAGACAAGATGTAACAGAAACTTTGCAGTAACAAACTGTGCTTTGCTTATCCTTCAGTAGCAAACCAGCATGGTACACAGAGTAAAAGCAAAGATATCTGCATTTGCTGGCATGTTCAAAAATAACACTCCTTCAAGGCCGGGGATTTGCTCAAGCTGTTACTGTGCTAATTCTACTGCTATACTACTATTTCTACAAGATCTATTGTTTTGCTGAAGAATATATTAACAATTACTGTACAATGTACTATCCGATAAAATTCTGAATTCTGTCCTGCATGAAGAGACCATCTATGATGGAAAGCGGACGAGCAGCTTCCCATCACTTCACAAGCTGAAATGCACAGAGGAAAATGCCCTGTAAACTGCTTACAAGTCAAAGGATGCAGTCAGGTACCAGGGCAAAGAGTTTGTAAATACCAATATGCTGCGTAATCGTCGTGTCAGTATAAACAGTGAAGACACACCACATCAATTCCTCTGAAATTACTGCCAAAGTGAAAACATGATACTGCTACACTGAAAATCTTTACCATGAATTTCTTTCATTACATATTTTCCACAGATAATTTAAGAGACACATCTGTTCTAATTAGTGAGAACCTGACCTTCCAACAATTGATGTGAACAATTCAACTGACTGGAAATAAATCAGAACAGCAGTAGATTTCTAAATTATGGGCATTATATGCTTGGCTTCATAATCGCAGAATCCATCCTTTATCAGGTATGGTCTGTAGTTCAGAAGATCTAAAGCTTTGCTCCCCACCTCCTTACATTACCTTCATACGGCACATAAAAGCAGGTAAGAGAAGAAGAGCCCGTGTGGGTGATCTACAATGTTATTGCTGATAACAAGAGGATGAAACAGGATAAGACCATCTCCTTGATAATCAATCTAAATTTTCCTAATACTTGAGCTAATTTGGCTACAGAATAATTCTGAAGCACAACACTGAAAACCACAGATGGGGAAATGGCTAGAGAGTACAGAGCACAGGCAAGTGAGCACAGCGCAAGACAGAGACCCAGCTGATTTTCTCCTCCAATTTCCATTAATTTTTGCTTTGCTGTAGAGTGAGGACTGTGAGCCCTAAAGAGATGGCTTTTGTGGGAATTAAATGTTTCATTCTGAACAGTTGCCTATATTTTTAATATGAAAGCTGCCGACTTCTCGTTGTCTCTTAAGCCCTTCAGAAGCATCTTAAACGGATTTAGATCAAAAGTCTTAAAAGGTCAAAATTCAAATCAAATCAAGCTAAGGAAATAAATTACTTCTAAAGAAAATCACTAATGTGATCATTCATCGCCTTAAAATGCTTGTTAGAACAGGCGTATTTCAAAATTACACATTCTGCTCTGAGATAAGCTTTAACATCAGGTGCTGATGGTACAGAAAGATTTTAGACCTAATTCACAGTTTCACTAATCCCCCATTTCTTTGTTCTAACAAGAGTAAAACTACTTAAGGATTGCTCGTATGCCAGACTTTTGTGTCTGGGTTATCAGGATGATAATAATCTACAATTTACCAACTTAGTCTCCAGTGTAACACAAATATATTTGATTTAAAAAAAAATCTCCTTTAAAGAGATCTTTGAAGTCTCCTGTGGAGAGTGCTGACTTTTATATCATGCCAATCCAACTGAACAATATAAATTTATGCCAAGCATACTGACTCATCTTTTCACCTGAAGCCTGGTCATGGTAAGGACAGAGGACCAAACAAACATAATTTAGAGTAGCTGCTGTTTGGACTGAGAAAGGTTTTTTGTGGGAGATGCTTGGGAACAACTAAGATTATTTATCCACAAGCAATTATTCATCCTGTGGAAGAATTCAGACCTTCACATTTGGGTTAGTTCACACAACTTCAAGCCCCTCTTTTTCTGCTAAAGATATTTAGTTGTCTGAACAGACCCCTAACTATCTTTAAATGACTTAAAGGATAGAATTTAGCAAGGTACCAGATTAACTGTGTAATAATTTAGTGGTAGTCAGACATGTAACTAAGGAGAACTTTGGAAACTGCCTCTATCCTGTCCATCAAGTGGCCTCTCTAACCCACCCATATACATTCAAGATAGTTACATTAGCACAACCCATAGAAACCAGTGAAACTGTAAGGTATAGTTTCACTATAAATCAGTATATTCTGATTTTAAGAAAAATTTCTGCTCCTTTCTGTGCTTAATTTTTATATATACATATGGTAAGATGCTATCT